TATATATATATATATATATATATATCTTCCAAAATTCAATTGAAACTTAAAATATCAAGAACATCCTAAACTCTGATGCTTATAATTTGAAACTTGAAACACTTTAAAAGGTTCTCACTGCGGGGCCTTATGAATTTAAAGCTAATTACAGTACAACTAAAATGTATTACTTGCGTAATAATTAGAATTCATCAAAAATAACAAAGTCTAAAAAATCTTGGTTTGTATGCACTTTTCAGCTCAGTTGTTATTTAAATCCTTGTGTATCTTAGTTTTCGAAAACTGGTAAGAATACAAAAATACTGAATTTTGATTTTGAATAAAATTTATATTGCATTCCTAAAAGAAATAAATAGTCACAATCGTTCATCCATCCATCCATTATCTTTACACGCTTATTCCATTTTGGGTCACGGGGGTCGCTGGTGCCCATGTCCAGCAATCACTGTGCGAGGGGCGGGGTACACCCTGGACAGGTCGCAAGTCCATCACAGGGACAAATAGAGACAAACGAGACAAACAACCATTCACTCTCTCACTCACACCTAGGGACAATTTAGAGTTACCAATCAGCCTAACATGCATGTTTTTTGGTCTGTGGGAGGAAACCGGAGCACCCGGAGAAAACCCACGCATGCACGGAGAGAACATGCAAACTCCACCCAGAAAGGCCCCTGGACCGGGGTTTGAACCAGGGACCTGTTCGCTGAGAGGCAGCAGCTCTACCAGTTGCGCCACCGTGCTGCCCCACAATCGTTCACTTATTACAAATTATTTTCTGCATGGCCACAGTGACCTTGAACCAGTAAATTTTAATGACAAGACTTTTGTGCTTTTCTGTCACAAGTTAAAGAAACATCTTCAAGGCTTTCAAAAGATTCTGGAATTCACAAAATGGGAGAGATGAGCTGACAACCTGAAGCTCATTGTCTGTGCTGTTGAAGAAACACAAAATAATTGCTAATTCATGCTGTAGTCATTTCAAAAGATTCCCTCTTGACACTTCAAAGAAGCATTTCAACACTGCTTGACACCTCTTTGAACTGAGAAGAGACACTTCTTGTGACTGTGTCAAGGTCTCGTCTGTCCCATGAGACTTACACGGGCATGCCCTTTACAGTCATGCAGTCTCCAGATTCCTTTGATTTGACCCACACTGGTGGATCAAACATCAACTTCAGTACAAGCAATGCAATTTTAAAACACAGTAAAAATAAACTGATTTTTCTTATGAGGAAACTGATGTAGGCTAACTCTTAAAACGGTATAACCAGGTGGTATTCTAAAAAGCCTTAATGATTTTTGATGATGCAACAAATTCTGTTAATTTTAAGTGCTATGTGTTGTCATCATTGTATGTTCCCATACAATGGCAAAATTAGTTCTCTGCATTTAACCCATCGCACCTGGAATACACCCAGGTGGAGCAGTTGGCAGCTATGTAAGTGCTCGGGGAGTAAATAGGGATTACGTGTCTTGCTCAGAGACACCACGGCATGTGGGAATGGCTGGGGATTGAACCTCACCACCTACCAACCTACCTGCCTGTCTGTCTGTCTGTCTGTCTGTCTGTCTGTCTGCCTGCCTGCCTGTCTGTCTGTCTGTCTGTCTATAATGGCAATCTTTTAAAGAAGTGAGTGCAGTAGATCCTTTGAGCTCTCAGTTTTTCAATGCAAAGTATGTCAAATATCATTTTACACAAGAAATATTTTAGGCTACAAAATGATGCATATGACCTAAAATGTTGTTGTCATCCTTTTACTTGTGTTTCAGAGTGAACCTAACAGGAAAAATGGAAACATTAAAAATCACAGCATGCTTCCTTCTGCTTTTTCAAGTGCTTCATACGGTGTCACTTCAAAGTACTACTGACTCTCCTGGACGTACAATTGATAAAAGTTGGCTCCGTCAACCAGCCATAAAGAGGGAAAACGGAAATACTCAATCTCCCGAAGATAAAGAGTTTGAGTCTGAGTTAGGCACCGTAGAGTCTGGGAATGACAACAGTGGAGGGATTCCATCTGGATTTATGGCAGAAAATGCAGAAGAAGAGGAGAATCTATCAAACATGAGTGAAAATGAAAAGACTGAAGATCTGAATATTTCCAACAAAACAATGTTTGAAAATGGAACAATTGAGCAACTAGAATCGCCAGAGGCTACCATCCCTCCAGCTAACGAATCAACAGATGCCACAAGGTCAGGCCAAACCAACATGACAGAAGCTAAAGAGGAATTTAACTCAACCATGACCACAGAAAACTCTACCAGTACTCGAGATCTCTCATATAACAACACCATGTTCAAGGCAACAACATTGGCTCCAGAGAATGGCACCACAAAACAACCCCCAACGACGCCAGATTCAGACAAAGGATTAGCAAACCGTACGGAATCTACCACATCTGCACCAAGTACAGCAAAACCAACCACAGGACCACCAACAGCAGCGCCAACCACGGCTGCCCCAAACACCACGGCGCCACAGATAAACAAGAATACAAGCAGTCCTTCTGAGATACCAGGATCAAACTCAACTGCTGCCCCAGATGTCCCAAAATCACCTGAGGTGGCAAATAGGAGCGGGATAGTTGTGGATGGCTCAGAACGAGCCATGGGTGAAGAATCAGGTAATATAGTTTCTTTTATACAGTTTTATGTCTGAAAAATAGAGTTCTATGAGTGTTTTTGGAGTCCAACTTCCAGGGGTGGTGGAGGAAGTAAAAATCATGTGTATTTGGAAAATTTTAATTAAAGAATTAATATGATTTGAGTGCTGTTTTTATAAATAGTCTGGGGAATTGGATAGGGTTGTTTTTAAGAAGAGACCATCAATTGCTTAACCATCTCCAAGTCAGTTAATAATAATGTGGTTCAAGCCCATTCTATGTTGAGGCTTTTAAATCCCCTCATGTTTCCATCAGATAGTTACATGGAATGGGTTGATGTTGGGTTTTATGTTAGAGGGGCTGTAAATCATGTTGCTGTAAAATAATTTTTGGTTGCAACTTTTCCAAACTGAGGGAATGCTGGAGGCTGACAGTAACCATTCAGAAATACCTCACACAGCCCCACTAAAAAATACATTATCCTTTCAAAAATGGTGTAGGACAAAAATAGATTTGTAACATAAAAACCTGCTTTAAATTCTTCAAGGATCACCTTGGTTATAAAGCAACACTGTACTCCCTGATCGTAAGCACATTCATCACTGTTGTATGTTTTACACACTGGGCTTTTCCGCCCTTTCTCCGACCCACATTTAGCTGCGTCTATTTTCCCACTGACAAAGGACAAATGCTCCCTCTTTCAAAGGCAAAGGTTGGATTGAGTTTCAGGTTTTATCGATGTAGCCACTATGAGAGAAGAGGTCTGTTACAGCCGTCCTCTCAGCAGGACAATGAAACCCTGTTTTAGCCACAGAAAAAGGCCTGGAAAAGGCAGCAAGGGAACGAGGTTAAAGAAGCTTCTACCTCCGTTTAGAAGCGTGAGACTAGCCTTTGGTGTCGATCTTGAGATTTGGAGGAGACTGAAGTGAAAAAGACCTCTTTTATACACACTTGTGCAAATCAATCTCCAATTCAATTTCGCCTCTGCAGCGCCTCGAAAAGCTACTTCCACTGAAAAATACATGTGGGCAAGCTTGGTACCAATGAAAAGACCCATAAAGAGCTAGTGTAGGGCTGGGATAAACAAAACTTGCATCACACAGACAGATGTGACAGTGAGACATAACAATAACAAATGATGGCAATAAACTGTGGGGAAACCGTTCTGAAACTGTGGGCGACCCAGAAGAAGAAAAAGAAATCCCCACAGTCACCATGACAGGCACAGCATGCACACAAAAACCATACAAAGACACCTACTGTTGTATGCAGATAAAGGAAGTGTTTCTAAATATAAGCTCACAATTATCTTTGACTTCTCTGAGCTCAATAAATCAAAACACCCGCTCACCTCAGGTATCTCATCTCACAATGAATTAAAAGTTACACTCACTGTCTGTTTTGTTGACCATCTACTGTGTGGATTGAAGTATTAATTAGTTTTGTACCATTTTTTCGCACAATTAACTGATGCAGTGATGACATAATCGTTGTGTGTAGTTCGTCTTGACTGAAACTGTTGGGCGAACTTGATTAACGTGCAAGATGGCGAAATTCAAACTGTTTAAAAAATGTCACAATTTGTATACCTGGATTATTGAGCATGGACTTCGTTGTTTAAAAAAAGGTCATGAAGGGGTGTCTGTTTTCAAATCTTTAATCCATACAGCAGGTAATTTATCTCACAGTGATGCTAGAAGAGGATACGTAAATATCAATAGAAATAGTCATCGCAAAATCAGAATCAGCTTTATTGTCATTGCACCAAAGCACAGTGAAATAACATTTCAGTACAGCCCTTCCGAGAAAGAGCAGAGCTTTTTATTCGCATACCGTCCAGGAGCGTTTGAGATAGTTGGCCAATTCATGGCCAAACGGTGGAATCAGATTCAGATAACAACAATTATTTTGGGTCAGGCCGTCTCTGCTTGATTTCTTTCTGCCTTCGTAGTTCTACTGGTACGTCTCAATGGCGGCTTCAAACAGCCACATTTTGTGGTCAACACATCTGGGCCGAGCTTGTAGCTTCTCTGGGATCGAGTCCTTCCCACCAGCGAGTTTCAGGAGCTGCAAGTGGCATTGCGATTCTCAGAAATTGCATCCAGCTTACGGCTCAGCTCACATAGCATCTGAGTCTTGAGTGCTTATTGCTCGGCACATTCCTTCACACGCCAGGCAGTCTTACAATGGCCAGAACAGCTGCTGACGCTTTCCGCATTTGTCGATATGCCAGGTAACCGCCAACTCCAAAAGGCAGAAATCCTGTTATCATAAATCCAATTATGTATGCATCTTCTAAATCCTCAACTGACAATATTGACAAACACACAATCTTCCATTTACCCTAGGAATCCATTGTGTATCCAGCTGCAAGTGTCCCATCGGGCAAGAGGGCTCTCCTTTTCCTTGTCTTCTTGTTGAGAAAATGTATCAATTGTGTTGAGAGACCAGCTGACCAGATCCATAATTTACAATTTGGAAGTTATGTAAAGAGAGGCTCCGATAGGGTTCACATGACAAAGAGCAAAGCAGGAGGGAAGCAGGAACGAGATGGGAAGCTTCCGCCTTCGTTGAGAGCAAGCGGGAAAAAAAGGGGAAACAATTAATTATCTACAAAAGAGTTGTCAATCTTTGTCAACAGCACAGACCCACAGACGCTGGTAAAACTGACCTGAGTCTTTATTGATTACTGTTTCAAGTTACAAAATTGTCAGTTTATTTTTCTTTTCTTGTAGGTGTGAAAAAAGATTATTAGTGAAATAATGTATTCGGACAGCTGGATGAATTGTTACAAACGGAAGCATATTTAAGTATATCTCCTCTCCGGGCCACAGTTTTTGATGCAGATTTTTGTTTAAAAGTCATTTTTCTACTCTGCTGCAAGTTAATATTGAGGAGGTTTAGTAATTAAAAAGTATGTGATTAGGGTAAAGAAATATGAACTGTATCAAGTTGAGGAAAAAAGTGTATTTATAGTGATAAAAAGAGATATATTAAACCTTGTTTCTCATTAAGTGACAGCTTTATGGTGTCCTCATGACGTATATGCGTCACACCACACCCTTCGTAATGATGCTGCAGATCCTTTTGAAGCAGACAGTTTTAGAGGGGTGGTTCAAGGCAGCCAACCTGCTATTCACAAGCACAAATATGTACACAAATTACAGCCATTAACCACTGAAGTACATTTTTCACATACTGTTGGAGGGAGAATTCACACAGTACTCACACTGACAGCTCCCAAACAACAACTGATGCAACTTGACTGTCATTGTGCAGATATTTGTACCATCTCTGACCAAACAGCAGAAAAAAACTAATGAATGCTCCCATGCACAAATGTTTTGAGCTGAAATAAGAACAGTGGCCACAGATCAGTGTAGGTGCTGATGTAACATACTAGCCAAGCTCAGAGTAAGAGTCAAAAATCCCATTGCAGTTTCTGCTTTACTGCTGCATGGTTTCAGCGAGGTTTACTTTTTACACAACAGTAATACTAAATTATGATTTATTCTTTCATTGCTTTCGTATTGCAAGCAAGGCTGATGAGACTGTGCATTTAGTTAAAAAAGTTTTCAATTTATCTTATTTTTACTAACTAGCCGAGAAGTTCCAGCTCCTCTGCAGGAAAACACGCAGGAAACATAAATGTCAGCTTCTGCTGAAAAACGTTGCTTTAAAGGTTGTGCTGAACGATGTGAAAAAAACCAAACATACAGTTTATTTCCGACTGGTTTCATCATTATTTCAAGTGTCGTATTAAAAGCTACTGAGCAACTTTCAGAGGCTAAAATATATGTTTTTAGTTTGGGGGTAACATAAAGATGTAATTGCTGCAGTCATAGGCAAGCAGAGCATGACAGGTGCTGAATACAAGTGTTTCCACAGCCAAAATATAAAATGACCTTCAACAAAGTCCATGCTCAATAATCCAGGTTTACATTTTTCAGTCAGGTCATCTGGACAGTTTATTTTTTTGTGCTGAAACATTTCACCTTCGATCCGGAAGGCTTCATCAGTCAAAGAAACACACAACACAAAACTGATTCTTCCCCCAACAGCTTACTCCAAAGTGGAACAAACCAGTTCTGCTTGTGATAAGATGGTCTCCTTGTCATGCCCCTTCCTCCATTGCCAGCCCTCTTTCTTGTTGACAGTCATGTCAAACTGGTTGAAAACAACAAAGTCCATGCTCAATAATTCATTCAGCAAAACGTTTCAGCACAAAAAAAGAAACAGTCCAGATGACCTGACTGAAAAATGTTGGATAGAATGACCTTAATAACTAGAAGAAACATTTTTGTTGTCTTCTTACAGGCCAGTAGAAAACAGAAATATATATATTTCTATAAACCTTATATATATATATATATATATATATATATATATATATATATATATACACACTTATACATAAACTTTTAGCTTCAAACAAACCGTTTCTTGTATGACCTTAAATGTCTATCATGTAACCAGTATCTTGTGTTTCACAAGTTTCTTAAACAATTTAAGATTTAAAACTCCTTTCTGACAGTTCAAAACATTTTCCCTAAAAAAAAAAAAAAAAAAAAAAAAAATCTAAATCCCTACAAGTTCTGTTTTCTGTTGGGCTCCATTGTTGTTCTATGTAAAGGACATTTTTATTAAAAAGTTCTGATCAGAGCCTGAAATGTGTGTCGAGGTACTGATGTGTGATTTAGTCCCGTCAGTGTTAGTTCATGTGAATCTATACAATCATTAATATTTACAATCAGAACAATATTCTGCTTCAGTGACAGCGTTAAATTCTACAATCACACATTTAAAGGGACGTTTCTGAGGCGCTCGGCTTGGAGAAACCATCCAACCTTTTAATTTCCTTCATTCTTTGGCTGTTTCTGCTTGTTACAAAAGTGTTTAAAACAACTGTTTATGAATGTAGAAATTTTAAGCTATTTTATTGTGTAGAATATTATACAATTAAATTAAATCAAAATAGAATGTAATCTGGGAATGAATATTGAAGACAGATTTGTCAGTTTTAAATATACTGTATATGTTATCTACTTGTTTTGAACAAAGAGAGCAAAATACTTTTGAAAATTAAGGTTCATGTTTGTTTCACAATGAGGCACACATTATCAAGTTGTTTTTCTAATTATCTGTGCCTGAGCAGATGTTTACTGAAATCATTACAGACTAAAAACTAGCAACTTAGAATAAAATAAATAAATAAAAAAATACAAAAAAAAAGTTTTATCCCAGTTTCATCATATGTCTCTTTTTAAAGCCGAATGAGCCAGTGTGCTGTAATGCTTAGTGCTGCTCACAGTAAGCTCTGGGCTTATATCTTTGTCCATCCATGAAGACTTTGAATCAGTTATTCCCAACATGTAGCACTCAGGCCCTGTAAATCTTATTTAGAAGATAAACTCAGCATGCCGTCTTAGATTATTCAAATGTATTCAAGAAATTATCGTGATTTTGGCATGTTAATTGCATTAATTATCACAGTGTAAATTCTGCAATTCTGACTAATTAGGATGTGTATATCTGTGGAGAGTGCCTCTGCTGCAAACATATTTAGAGAAAACACATTTTCAGCCATAATTATTTTGCAATTAGCCCTCAAAGACAGGAGTTGAAATAAATCATTAATTTATTGACAAATTATTTATAAGTCTTTCCCACCCACTCTAACCCAACATTTATTTATTTTCTAATGAAGGTTTGGATTCAGATCCGTACAGGAGTAAGAGGAATGCGGCTTGGCTGGCTGTGCTTGGAACGGCGGCGGCGACGGCCTGTGTGGGCGTGGTGGCATACATCATCCTGAAGAAGAAGCACCAGAAAGCGTTCACTCACAGGAAGCTGGTTGAGGAGTACCCTGCAGACCCAGGTATTCTAGCTCCCAAAACATCTCCTGAAAAGTTTTCTTTTAATCTTTGTTGTTTATTTGGAAATTCTCCATCTGGTTTATTACAACAGACTGTAGACAACAATTTTGTTAAATTCAAAGTCTTTTTGTTAATTTTCCATTTTTAACGTATAAACCACAAAGAACAATTCAATTCAATTTATTTATGTAGCACCAAGTCACAGCAGAAGTCGTCTCAGGGCACTGAACAGAAACATCCATATATAAAAATAATAATGTAACATTATTTATCTGAGGAGCAGACGCTTTGAATTTAACTCCATCACAGAACTCTCATCTTGAACAAGCATGAAGGTGACAGTGGAAAGGAAAAACTCTCTCATGAGGAAGAAACCTTTAACAGAACCAGGCTCAGGACAAGCGGCCATCTGCTTCGACTGGCTGGGTTTGGTAGGAATAGATACACAATGGCAGGTCAAGAATCACATGTTAAAATAGAAATAATATCAAATTAAAATTATTCAATTTTAACAATTCTTTTAAGGAAATTAGGTCGGTCTGTCCTCCAGTAGTCTAAGCTTAAGACAGCATGACAAGCCAACCCTAATTATAGGATTTATCAAAAAGGAAAGTTTTAAGTCCAGTCTTAAAACAGGACAATGTGTCAGTCTCATGGACAGAAACTGGAAGTTGGTTCCACAAGAGAGGAGCCTGATAACTGAAAGATCTTCCTCCCATTCTGCTGTTGGAAACTCTAGGGACTACGAGATAAAGCGAGGTGCTCAAAAACACAAGACAAGAAAACATAAAACATAAAACAAAAAAACCCTCCCACCCCTTCCATCCCTCATCAGATCAGTCACACATACATAAATGAATTAAAATGAATTACACAGGCAATGACATTTTCCACATACAACATAAAAGGCTGCCACATGTCCCAAAATCTTTTAACAGAAACCTTCAGGGTATATCTTACTATAGATGGATTTGATACATTAGCTCTCTTATCCAGTGTACATATGCTGGGGCGTCCTTCCAATTGCATAAAACCAGTCTTCTGGCCAGGATAGAGCCGAAAGCAATCGCATCCTTCTCATACTTGCTGAAGAACATATCCACAGAGACCACCCCAAACAGTGACATGAACGGTGATGGGTGAACAGTTTTTCCTCATATCCCAGAGAAGGTATCAAAAATAGATTTGCCATAAGGTCTGCAGTTTAGGACAGGTTCAGAATGTATGCAGGAGTGTAGCTGGAGTTTGTTTACAATGATTACATATGGGGTCCAAGTTGGCTTTGATCTTGGACAACTTGTCTTTGAACCAGTGCAACTGGTGCACCACCTTGAATTGAATGACAGCATGTCTCAGGCAGATTGAGTATGAGTAAATGTTCTTAATGATCTTTCTCTAGATTGACTCTGATATGGATTCCTCCAGGTCTGTTTCCTATTTCAATTTAAGGGAGTATCATGATATGAACTGAGTAGTGTATAGATCTTACTAAAGGCCCCCTTGGCATCAGTCCTGCTTTCCAAAATCTTAGCCAGAACAAATTTATTTTTGAAAATAAAGATTCAATTTTGGTTGAGCATGAACTGTTGGTAAAATTTGATTTGTTGCACACCTCAGCTATGGTTCCATAACAGTGCAGAATTACTCTCGACTTTGTGCTTAATCACTTATCATTTTCCACAAGTTCAGCATTGTTAGTACACATGATAGAAAGCAAATTAACATCAGTTTATGAGAGAGCTTTAGATGTGCTGGTTGGCAGCTTTTATTGCCTCTGGTCTGTACTGTAACTGGCTGCAGGCTGGAGCTATACATAACTCTTCCTGCTTTAATAAGGTAACCTCACCATAATGAGCTAACCTCACCATGTGAAATAGCATCATGTACTATAATAGCTAACATTTTATCTCATTCTGTCATGAGGGAAAAAGAGACTGTCAATTCCCCTTAGCCTCCTTATATTTAACTTTTCTGTAAAGCTCCAACTGGAATTAATCGAACACAAGATAGCAGACTGTATTTTTTCCCTCAGACACACAGATATAGAAATTTTGGGGGTGGTGACAAGTCATTTTTGTTGGCAGTGGACTGAGATTGGAAGATCGATCGTGCACTACTTTGAACTGCAGTATAGCGATTTTTATGATGCTGCTGCACAACTTTGCTCAAGTGGTATCTTGAACAAGCGTTTACAATAAGCAAAATTTCATGGGGAAAAAATGGGTAAAAGTTTCACCTAAAAGTAATGACCATTCATGGCAATAGAATGTATTGTAACATTAAATTATGTGTAACAATGATGTAACCATGTAGAGTCATAGTGAATTAAAAACAATATGGGCAGACGATGATCCAAAAATGTCACGTCTCTGCAATTTACTATAAGTTCATTTTTTTAAAGCTGTTGTATTAGTAGTAATTGCAAACATTCAAGAGGAAAATAAAAACCAAACAGAAAAAGCTTTTTTATTGATTTTTTTATGATAGACCAAAATGGAACATGAACAGGAGAAGGCAGATTACTTATTACTGCTGAATCCCTACAATAATAGCCCCTGCTCCAAAGTTTCCTGTAAATATATCAATAAAGTGTTGCATTGTCTCTGTATGGCTATAGGTATGGAAACACTGCAGCAGTTCAAAATAAGAGATACAACCCCAGGGATGAAAACGCTGGAACATTATGTAAAACATAAACTATAACGAATATAAGTATCTTTAATTTTAATAAACCCACATTTTATTCACAATGGGATATAAAGCACAACAAATATCAAACACTTTGGAGGTGGCCGGCCTGCAGGCTTGAAGACTTAGACTTGAAGTACCAAATGGCTGCGTAGGCCCACCCCTTTTGATTGACAGCTTTTTTTACCAACTGGGTCAATTTATGGTGTCCGGAGACAATTTAATTCAGGGTATTATTAAAACATACTCAACTGTTGAGGTCTTACCTTTACAAAGAGAGGATAAGTTTGTGTTCTCCAAAGGGTTCAAGAGCAGCATCTCATTTAGTCTAGGTATGGCATGATGGCACAACTGGTAGAATTGCTGCCTCTGAGCAAGTATTTTGCTGGATCAAATCCCAGCCAGGAACCTTTCTAGGTGGAGTTTGCATGTTCTCTCCGTACATGCGTGGGTTTTCTCCGGGTACTCCGGTTTACTCCCACAGACCAAAAACATGCATGTTAGACTGAGTGGTAACTCTAAATTGTCTCTAGGTGTGAGTGAGAGAGCAAATGGTTGGTTGTCTCTATGTGTCCCTGTGATGGACTGGAGACCTGTCCAGGGTGTCCTCCGCCTCTCGAACAGTGACTGCTGGATATGGGCACCAGTGACCTCTGTGATTCGTAAAGGAAGAAGCGGATAAAGATAATGGATGGATGGATTTGATGCAATTGTGTGGGCTGTGGGAGGCTGTAAAATAGTGAACCATGGTGGCCATCTTTACTTCTGAGAGAGTTAGCCTCTCTAAAATATTCTATTTATCCCCAGTCTTCTTACTGACTTGTTGCGATTTAGTTTAGTTCATTGCAAAATGCTTCTGTAGTTGTTTCTCATACATATCACTCACTTTTACAATCTTTGTTGCTCCTCTCTCCACTATTTTGTGACATATTGATGCCATAAATTTTATTTCCCTCCCCCAAAATGGTAGCATTTCTTAATTTTCGCATTTGATAGGTTTACAGAAGTCCACTGTGAATACAATTTGGGTTTATAAGATGTATAAAACAATGTTTTCTGTCTTTATTTACTTTTTACACATCTTTTTTCTTCTTCTTGGTATTTAATGTTAAAAAACTACTGAACAACAACAACAAAAATGTAATCCAGTTTTTTGGATTTTCTTAAAGGGGTGTGTTTTGCTAAGATACATCCCTGATAACCTTTCACAAGAAATTTTGACTGTGATTTCTTTTTTCATTTCCAGTTCTCAGATTAGACAACTGTGAACCGTTGGACTTGAACGTGGGTGGCTCAGCCTACTACAACCCAGCACTCCAAGGGGACAACATTCAAATGAACAACTTTCCAGAACACCGTTAACATTAAAAGACTTGTACGACCAAAACTCCCTCAAGAGAAACTCAGCCACACACAGTTTCTGCTGTTTGGTGGAATTTTAGAACGTGGATTTTTTAAAGAAGAAAAATAAGAAAAAAGACTGTCTGAAAGTGGCACATGTTAATTGGAACAGGCCTAAGCTCATTGTAAGTTACCCACATTTATATTTTGGATACAGATTCTATTTGTTATATTTATTGCACTGAAATGAAGGGATCACTAATGATTATATATCTAATGAAGGTACACTGTAGAGCCAAAGTGACCTGTTCACCACTCATGTACGCTGCCAAATGAATCAAATGAAGACTTTTATACGCCACAAATTAACAACTTTTATTGAAAGATAAAATTACATTCACTAGAACTCAACATCCAGTTTCATTAATTTTTAATTGTAGCCACATAAATATATTTGGTGAAGACTTGTGTAAACGATTTTAAGGACAAACAAACATATACACAAACATATCAGCTAAGGAGAAGAAAGGTGAATAGGGGTCCTCTAGATCTGAAAACATTAATAAAGGTTAGAAATGCCCCCCCCCCCCCCCCCCCCCCCCAGATTACAGACGTCACAGCTGGTCTATTGAGGCATTTGGAACAATATTCAGAAGCCACCATGAACAATAACTATATCCATATCAGCAATCACCTGCTGTCACAGCATAATTTAGGCAATAACAAGTCACATTTAGACAGCAATATTCCTCGAACTGGCAGTCGCAGTCGAAACTAAAGGTTTGGGTTCGTTTTCTGCACTAGAGAGGGAGGTGGCGGAAGGCTGGAAGCTGTTTTCTTATTCATAGGATGAGATTTTTTGTTTTCTGAAAGGGAGTTGTGCATCTGGTCTTTGCATTACTCAGTAGCAATAACTGTATCTTCATAATACACACTTTAAGTCTTCCGACCTCCAGGTGTCCGGAGAGAAAATTGATTTTGTTGTAGCAACAATATGCACCTTGGAAGAGTAGGTAGTGTTTACCAGCTGCGCAGTCAGAATACTGCAATAAAATGATTATTATTCAGATTTTCTTTTCTTCCAACTCTGCATCAATATGGACTCAGAAACGTATGCCTTGTGATGAAATACAGATTAATCTTTTTTCCTCTGTATTTAAAAAAAAAATGTATTTTCAGATTTGCTCTTTTCTACACTTTCTGTTATGAGAAAAAAAATATATTTTACACTGGTTATGTCAAGAAAATTCATCCAGAAAATAAATCTTTTAGCTCTGTACATGTTTTCACTCATCATTACACGGATGACACGTGCACTCAATCAACATGCACTGTGATCATGACTGATACATCCCTCGGCTCGGCCTAAACAGCCAACAACAAGTTGGGAATGTGTTGCCTTGTGGATGGATGCAGCAGGCATGGCAGATTTGCTTCCTTCCTTGCTGTAATTTCTGACATCAATCAGTGCCTTGGGTTCCTGCTCTAAAGAATCACTGCAATTACTGCTGAAATAATACAACAGATAGATAAAGAGCCCAACATCTCGGCTTGTGCAGTGATTTAGATCTTGATAGCACAGTAATAAATAACCAAAACATTTGCTTTGTTTTGAAATTTCAGCTGAATTTAAGAAGAAAAGTCACCTGGACGTTGACAATAAAGGCATTTTTTAATTATTCAAACAATATTCAATTGAAGGCTAACATTCCTTAAAGAAATATTGCCCACCTTAGTTTATGTAAGAGCATTAGACTAAAACATGTACTGAGAAATGACAAAGTTGTAACAGATTTGATCAAACCTGTAAAAGCACAATCTCATGCTGTCACAATGGGGCTGGTGCTGGTAAACCCAGTGGTGCAGGCAGGCAGTCAAGGACTCAGGAATAATAATTAAATAAAACATTTATTTACAAAAGTAAAAGGCTCACAGGGCAGCAAAACTTACGTATATAATCAAGGGATACACAGGGAGCAGAACAGGACATTACCAGAAGACAGGAAACAATGTCAGGACAAAGAGTAGGACAAACACACAGGCTTAAATACAGACACAAATGAGAACAAACACACAACACCTGTGAGCCTCACGGGTGTGGGGAATTGAGGTAATGAGACACAAGGGAGCAGGAAAAAGACAGAACACAAGCTGGAGCCAGACACTAAGAAACTCAAACCCTATACGTGCTGTATTGTGAGGTGTCGTGTTGTGAGCAACTCTCAGCTACAGCCACCTCAAATTTTATCACAATATTTTTAAAAATGAGTCAGAGTATGGTTAGTTTGGGTTGGCTAATACTAAGTTGAAGCGGCCATCTTAAACTGAACTGACTCCTCAAGTTAATCAGTCGTAGATATACATCCAATTATTACTTTTTAGAGAGTTTCATTAAGATCCATCCAATGGTGTGAGGATTGTGTTTCTTAGTGTGTCTTCCTCTTGCGGTCTGACTTAGCTTCTACGTTCCCACTTGCTCATGATTGTCTTTCCCCCAGGTGTTTGTCATTGTCTGTTGTTAGTTTGTGTATTTATGTATGCGTCTCTGTGCTCTTCATTGTCTGGGCATCGTCTTGTGTGACGTTATGGTTCTGTCATCCCTGAGTCCGTGTAAGTTTGATGCCACGCCAGACTTTTGTTTTTGTTTAATAAATCAATTTAATTATTCTTACCTCCTGAGTTCTTTGAGTCCTGCCTGCACTTTGGGTTCAACCACCACCAGATCCTAACACATGGTTCATGAGATATTTCCCCAACAGACAGACAGCGGTCACTCCAACATGTATTTTTTTTGCATTAACAGCATCCATCCATCCATCCATCCATCCATCCATCCATCCATCCATCCAT